AAATTACTCACTGAGCTAAAGAAGCTAATTGTTTTATTATTACAGACAGACTCTTCGATTTTATTTACTTTATTTAGATTGTGTTTAAATAATAATGCATTAGTTATTTTAAATTAAATTTATATAAATTAAAAAAAGAAATAAAAACGCAACAAGGTATATAATATAATATATAAATAGGCAGGTAGTATAAAATGATAAGAGTCAAATAAATTCTCAGGCACAATCCAATAGTTAACAGTTACATGTTCCCGCTCATACATAGATGGGGTTACGCACGATCTCTTTCCGCTGTACTTTTTGTTCTCGTTTCCGGTGACATGTGAAAGAAAGGTTTTAGATGCGTCTCTGAGATCGCAGCATTAACAAATGCTTATCATTAACTCTATTTAAAGAACACGACACTTAGGGCGTGGGCTAGGATACGACACGTCATATCGTGTCATTATCCCGTAGGTTTTTCATTTTGAATATATTTGTAGTTTTTTATTCTTGATGGTTGTATATGTCTGAGGCCTCATTTACGGATCGATATAATTTACTAGACATGCTGATGTTTCGTAACTTCTTTATGTATATCAAAGAAAATTATATTAAACAGTATAAAATGTGTTGTGATGTTTTTTTTTTATGGTATAAGAGTGACAAACGAGCACAAGGTGCACCTGATGGTAAGTGCATGCTGTGGCTCATAGACATCTACATATATCCTTAACTAAGATCAAATTGCAGATACGGTGTCACCCCTGAGTACTAAGATGGAATGCCTCTTTTCCAGTAAAAAGGTATTTCTGGTTCTCTACACTTACCATACGTAATACATAATAGCAGCTTAATGCTGCTATTATTACGCTAGTATTCAACTAAAGAAGCAAAAGAACCATTAAAGAGGGCATCCACGAATATTTCTGTCACCACAGTGGTGCCATTTTGAAATGAGGTTTAACATGTCATTGTTACAGATAACTATAAATAAATTAAAGAGAAAAAAAAAAACGTTTCCTGTAAAAAGGGTCTCCGATTGTCTACACTCATTATACGGTACATAGCACCATTTTACTGCTGCTAGGTGCTATTTTACGTAACTGTGTTGGTATTTTACGGTGTTCCAACCCCGGTCGAGCCGACCCATTCGTGCTACAACCATAATATAGCTGCAGCGTGGCTCTACCACGTATAACATTATTTCAGTTGTTCTATATATCAAATCATGGCATAACAGTTTCAAATTTCAGATTAAAAAAAAATCCAATATCAAATAAAATTACGCAAACTGTTTCTTATTTCTCTATAATGAAAATATGTCAAATGTATTTCGAACAAATAAGATGCACCTACTAGAATGTCATTTAAATTATCTTTATATATAAAAATTACGTGTCACATTGTTTGTCCGCGATGAACTTCTAAACTACTGAACTGATTTCAATGAAATTTTGCACACTGTGTGCAGTTTGGTCCAATTTGAAAGATAGGATTTTTTATCCTGATAAGTGACCATCAATTTTTTTATTGCTAATTTCAGTATTTTTTTTAGGAAAGTTAATGGTCGTCGGAAAGGCCAGAACAACGTCTGCCTGGTCAGCTAGTTACATTAAACGAAGAAACGTCATATCATTTCATTATGCCGTAGGTTGTTCTTATTATGGTTCCGTACCCAAAAGCGTAACCAACGGGGCCCTATTACTAAGCCTCCGCTGTCCGTCCGTCTGTCTGACAGCGGACTCTTATCTTGTAAAAAGTAATAGGTAGACAGTTGTTGCCGCTATAACAAAAAATAACAAAAATAAATTAAAAATTAAAGGGGTCTCCTTTAATAGATACGTGTTTTACGATTGTACGGAACCCTGCATGCGTGAGTCCGGCTCGCAGCTGACCGGTTATTTGAACATATTTGTAATTTTTATCCTATCGCAGATTCCCCCAGGTGGATTAATGCCCGAATTTTTGGTGAAAACTTCTTTAGAATCATTGTGATTTGAAACTCGATGAAACGAAAAAGCCACACTAAAAAGAGACAAACGTACATACATCTATAGGAGTTAGCCCGCGAGAGAGTGAGATAGAATACATTATCTCGGTCTCCTCTTTGTGCGGCGCTTTAAATATGGTTAAATATAAACTTTTAACTGTTAAAATAAACAGATTAAATAAATGAATTTAATCATATTGAATAAAATTATCATATCTAATCCATTCATAACAATCCACGATTTCATAACTTACCGATTTATATAAAATTTGTCGTGTTTAAGCAATCTATAATAGCGTCTATTTTACGTACCACTATTCTTTTTGTTCGATACAATGACTTTACCTGTAGAAGGAAGTAAATGGCGCTATTATCAAACAAATTCATACTATGTTTAGTTTCACTTCTACCGAGTTTGAACAGCACACATGTTTTTTTCATTTTTATTGTCTTACGAAGACGCTGCTGCCAATATCCTGGATTGCTACCCTCTGTCACTTCGTACGACACCCGATATATGGTAGTGGATATTCTTACATCGACACTACATAGTGAATAGTTTGTCACCCTTACTTGTATAAATTACTCAGGATTCTGAGTTCTCCATTCCGCCAAAGGATTAAAAAAGTCTTTACAAGGCGGCTCCGTGGCGCAGTGGCTTAGCAATGAGTTGCGGCTCTGGGGGCCGCGGATTCGAATCGCGACTAAGTATTTGTATGACCTACAAATAATTGTTCCGGGTCTGGATGTTTGTCCTTGTGAAGTTTACGTTTGTAAGAAAGTGCAGACGACTTTGCATATGCCTTAATTTCGCTAAAAGTTCAACATTTTGGATATCTTCTAGCAGGCAGGCCGCGGGCGACCGGTCTCCCCGCGGATATAAATACAGCTAGCCCTGTGGCGCCCACGCAGATCAGAATTACCGCTGCTAATTACGCCCGCCGCATAAATACGCCGAGAGCCGGCGCTCGTAAATCAAACCGAGGCGTATCGGCCGTTTGGCGGACGCGCGGGATGAATTACTCCACGTAAATTTGTATCGGGCGAGTGGATCGTAAAACGCTTAGCTCATAGACGGAAATTGGGGGAAATTAACCGGGTTGTCTATTATGCTTTCATTCATTTCTCACGGTGCACGGAACGCCGGCGTAAAATAGAAGCATAAAGCTGCTTGCTGTGTTTTGTACAGAGAACCGGAGACATTAGTAATACTACCAAAACATCATCATCATCATCATCATCATCATTACAGCCTTTCATAAGTCCACTGCTGAACATAGGCCTCCCCCAAGGAATGCCACAAAGCACGGTCCTGAGCCACCTGCATCCATCGACTTCCTGCATGTCGCAGAGAAACCCCGAGCATAGCCCTCTCCATAGCTCGCTGAGCGACCTTGAGCTTCCTCATACGGCCAACAGTGAAGGACCACGTCTCAGATCCGTAAGTTATCACTGGCAACACGCACTGGTTGTACAATTTCGTTTTAAGGTTTTGAGGTATGTCTGACGAGAAGATGTGTCGTAGTTTCCTACTAAAACATATTTAATACAAAATAACATACTGTCGTATTAATGGCCTCCATTTCTTGAAGTCGGTTAAACTATGAAGCGATCTTGTAGTTACCTGTGTTAAGTACGTTTTGCGAGGAGGTATTGTATATTTCCATCCACCATGCGCCTAATGTTCTGAAAAGCTGCTTGCTGTTTATACGTGGTATACAATATAGGACCACGCTGTAGCTACATCATGGTTGTAGAACGAATGGGTAGGCTCGACCGGGAAAGGATTTTTTTTTATAGGAGAGGAGGCAAACGAGCATTACAGGACTGTGGATATTCTTACACTGCCACTACACGGTACGGTAATCTTAATACGTCGCCTAAAAATTCGACCACAGCGCATTACTATGTGTGTGTGAGAGAGAGAGAGAGAGAGAGAGAGAGAGAGAGAGAGAGAGAGAGAGAGAGAGAGAGAGAGAATATTAAGAATTGTGTAAAATATACGAAGAAATTTGTTTTTACAGTAAAGTAGAGTTGAACAAAGTCACCGTGTAGTGGCGATATAACTAACTTTTATCTTCTGGTGGGTGGTCGTAAGAGGCGACAGAGGGAAACCAAAACTAAAACGGAAATCTAGGAAGATTATATATATAGATATAGATATTATCAGGAGATAACAACTCAAAATTATAAAATACTGCGTTTGCCCACCCGCTTGCCAAGCGTGGCAACTACGGCAAATTCCCCCCTCCCTCCCCCCCTATGAGGTGATTTATGGGGGAGGTCTATGCTCAGTAGTGGACTTTTATAAGCTGTGATGTATGCATGAGTGTCTAACAAAGAGATAAACAGAATCCCGCGAACAAGACATTCGTTTTGTAACGCTTTCAGCGTGGCCGCACGTTTGTTTATTCTTGTTTGTTCAACAAATTCCCACTGCGGAAAGATTTATGTCCATTTTGCTAAAGCGAATTAAAAACTAAAAGCTTAATAAGCAGCTATGTAACTAGTGTGTTTAAAACTTGGAACATCTATATTTTGCCAACATCGATTCTATCTACTTATATCTATTATTTATTCTGTGTTTGTCTTCTAATATATAAAAAATAACTTTTGTTTGTTCGTATTTTATGCGCTGCCATAACGTTCATCAGATTGCACTAAAACTTTGTCAACTTATTGCTTGCACTTGAAGGTTATAAGGCATAGTAAAATTAACTTACACTAGGTGGCGCGCGTATCTTACCAACTAATTTATCTACAAGTTATACATACTCAACTTCAATTAATGTATTATCATATAAAATTCTTCTAAACTTAAAACGATATTTCGACAATTATTTTTTCTGTGGCAGCAACGCGCCGGGTACCGGCTAGTGTTTAATAATTTTGTAGTGTTATAAATAATGAATATTTTTTATACGAGAGAACGCAAACGAGACTGTATCTGATGGAAAGTAATTACAGTTACTTAAAAACGTATATAAGTAAGTAAGTAATATTTTATAATACAGTTATCTCAACTCACCCCACTCTCCTGACTTGTGGCCGGAGGCGCCTGCAGTCCATGCTCCTCGTTGTATCTCCGCCTCGCTCTCTGCCTCAGCAGAGCCGACGCGTCGGGCTGGCCGAACTGGAATATGTGTTCATCCTTCCCACTTAAAAACTTCTCAGCACCAAAGTCCGAAACGTACTCGGTCCGTGATTGCTTAGCTTTGTCGTTCAAAAAGTCCGTACTAATAAATTCACCGTGACCGCCGTCCAGGATCTGTGTGGTGAGACGCAACGAGTCCGACGTCTGTCGGAGGTTCGCCTCAGACTCCGGCCGGTAGTTCTCGCATATCTGGTTGAACGTGTTGAAGTATTCCGTTGCTAGATCGCTGCGTGGTTGGTATTGGATTTCGGACAGCGGCGGTGGGTCCGCTGGCAAGAAGTTAGGTTCCATCGCGTCATGCCGCAGCGCCATATCGCTCGCATTTGAGCTCGCACTTAAATTTACACATCACTGATTCCACTTGGGCACACTCATCGTGGTTGTTATAATGCAGCTAATCTATAAAGTGCATATTAAACACTGTGTTTACGTCTCGCAACAGATGCGGCCGCGGCCACCCGAGATATAACCGCAAAAATCCATAAACAGTACGCGGGCAATCAGACAGCGCCACAAAAAATCGAAACTTCCTAATTCGTCGGCCACAGACGGTGTAGGAACACCTTGCGTGCGATGGGAAAGGAGCCCGGATTGATACTGTAACGGCCCGGGAATCGATCACGAGTACAAAGAAAGCAGGTAAATTTTCTAGTACGGTGTTGGAGAATGTACTCCGCGTGAATAGTAAACAAATTTTGTAATCTAAAATAAAAATATTTAGCGATTCTATGGCTTAAATTAAAGATTATCAGTAATATTGTATGGAGTACAAAGAAAATAATAAAAAAAATTCTCAATAAGTTATACTTGTATTGATTGCTATATCAATTCTCATGTAAGTTTTTTTTATAGGATAAGAGTGACAAACGAACACACAATCCACCTGATGGTAAGTGGTTGTTGTGGTCCATAGACATCTACATCTATCCTCAATAAAGAATCAAAATGCGGATGCATTGTCACACTTTGAGGACTAAAATGGAATGCCTCGTTTCCAGTAAAAAATCACATACTACTCTTACCAGTACTACACCAACTACACTAACATACATACACCATACATTCTCCGGTCGAGCACATACTACTTTAAATATTGAGGATTGAACTGCCTCCACGGTACAGGAGAAAATCCTAGTTATGAGTAACGTTTTTAAAAAGGAAAAGAAGGAAAATGAAACCTACTTTTATAGCCGGGTTTTATAGTTTTTAATTTTAGCACGATTTTATTAACTCGCTTTTGTGTAGGTACAACTCTGTTCGGTTCGAATCAAGTAATTGATTTCAAACTAAATTCCCGATGAACTAGAGACTTCAAATTTTGAACATAACTCAGAATCGGGTAACAATGTAAGAATATGGAAAAAACGTGGTATAATAAAAAAAACCGGCAAAGTGCGAGTCGGACTCGCGTACCGAGGGTTCCGAACAAATCTGTAGGTATATAAGTTTAAAATTATTAAAAATATTTTTATTACAATATGTCGAAAATTTGCGGCATAAACGGCTGTATATTTTGATTGCGTTGGCTTAGAAGTTTGATTTTTTCATAGCTCTAAGGGACAGTAGTACTTGAGTATTTGATATAAATTTTAGCTTGATACCTCCACGCGTTCCTGAGAAAAAGGGTCTTGACAGACAGACAGACAGACGGACAACAAAGTGATCCTATAAGGGTTCCGTTTTTTCCTTTTGAGATACGGAACCCTAAAAATATATACATAATTTTAAAAATTTCACTTGTCAATTCCTGAAGTTTCGGGTCCACCGGGGCCCATCGTCACGGTGGGACTTAGTGTACCATGTACGCAGAGCGAACCAATAATTAATATTTTAAAGCCGTTCGTATATTGTGCAAATGCATCAGTATCGGTTATAAGCCGACGGCTTTTCTATATTAATACCTGAATTAAGTCGTTTATTCTTTATAAAACTGAGGTGGCAAACGACCTTATAGTCCTGATGGTAAATGGCTACTGCAGTCTGTAGACATCTGCAGCCCACTTCAAGCAAAGAACCTCGTAAAGAAAAATGTACAGATATGTTATCCTCTATGAGATGGAATGCCTCACAGCTTGTAATTACTCCTAGGAAGACAAATAATACTATCACCTAGTGTACAAAGTTTGAAGCGACAAAAGCCCTAAGGTTGGGTTTTCATACGTGGTAGAGCCATGCTGCAGCTATATTAGTAGTATAGTTGTATCACGAATGGGTCCGCTCGACCGGGGAAGGACTACGCGCTCACAGAATACCAGCGTAAAATGGCAGCTTGACACTGCTGTGTTTCGTATGGTGAGTGTAGAGAACCGGAGACCTATTTAACTGGAAAAGAGGCATTCCATTTTAGTCCTCACGGGTGACGATGCATCTGCATTTTGATTCTTTATTGAGGATAAATGTAGATGTCTATGGGTCACAACAAACACTTACCATCAGGTGGACTGTGTGCTCCTTTGTCACCCTATCCTATAAAAAAAATCAAAAGGATGTTTGTCCGTGTGAAATTTATGTATGTAAATTGTCCCCACGATACAGGACAAAAAATACTAGTGGGGTCTTTAAAAAAAACGAAGAAAATGCAGATCATCCTGACGACTATGATGGAATGCCTCGTATCCAGTATAAAGGATCTTCGGTTCTCTACACTCACCATACAAAACACAGCACCATTGAGTTGCTATTTTACACTGGTATTCTGTGAGAGCGTAGTTCTTGCCCGATCGAGCCGACCCATTTGTGATACAACCATTATACAGTATTATTAATATTGCATAGCTGCAACATGGCTCTACCACGTATGCAAATTGTAGTTACTACTCTTATTAGTGAATTAATAAGCTATTAATTCGAGCTAATTCCTAACGATAGAAATATCAGAGTGACGCAGTGGACAGGTGTAATACAATGAAATGAAACACCTGCTTTTCTTGAATAATCTTGTTACGCTAAATAACAACTAAGTTTTACTGTAGAATTCTGTGATTTTTATAACAGTTCTGACGCAATAAGTATACTCAAGGAGAAGGTTTTATATTCGACTTTTTATAACCATTTTGCATCTGCAACATTCAATGAAGTTGTTGAACAAGATAGCTATGTTTTGATAAAACTTGATTTGCAAATTAAAATAAAACTAGTTTTACGGATTTTATCGCATATATTAACTTATTTTATATATATTCCCACGTTTCGAGTATTTTACAGCACCCATGGTCACGGGGGGACTGATGTGTATGACGGTGACAACGTGGGTAAATCTGTGTTTCAGAGAGCACGAGGTATCTGTGACAGTAAACACCTGGCCGTCGAGCTCCAACACGTCAAGCAAATTTTGCACGACAGTAAGCTTCGGGTCCCGCGCCTACGTCACAGTGAACGAGTGAAGCCGGCCACAGTCGAGCGAGTGTCTGCTGTAGTGCCATATGTCAGAGGTGTCACTGACAAGATTGGCTACATCTTGAAGCGTGCTTCCATTAAAACATACTTCAAGCCGCCGAAGAAGATCTGTCAGTATTTACCATCAGTCAAGTGTAATGTCCCTCTGAAAGATGCAGGTGTGTACAAGCTTGATTATGAATGTGGTCTCTCTTATATAGGACAAACTAAAAGATCAATAAAAAGCAAAATCAACCACAAATCCTCGCTAAAGAAACACCGATTCCTTCCAAGGATGATTGGCGAGGCTATTGAAATCAAAAAACATCCTAATATAGAAGATGGTCTGGTGCTACCATCTGCTGATCCTATAATTGGGATCCTATAATTAATAAAATTAAATCCCAACCCAAGTATACAACTGCAAGACTTCAAGATACCGTAAGTTCATACTGCGTAAATCGGAACAAAAGTTAATAATTTTTAATCTGGAGGTAGCCGTGGTTAACTATGACATTGGGACGTCATACACCTCAGTCCCCTCTGTCACCATGGGTGCTGTAAAGTACTCGAAACGTGTGGGATATAAAATATGTTAATATACGCGATAAAATCCGTAAAACTAGTGTTATTTAAATGTGTAGTTTTCGCGTAAATATAAGAAATCATTTGATTTGCAAATTCTCTACAATGTTAATTGATTTTTTGATATACATGTATGCAGTTTAAAATTTTATTTCACCTATTTAGGCTTGGGTCTGGCTAAGAATAAGTGTAACATTGCCCTTCTATACGATTAACCTAATAGTAAGTGGATGCCGCAGAATATCTACAACTATCATCGATTAACAATCAAAACGTAGAGGACTAAGATGGAGTGTCTCGTTTCTAGTAAAAAAGGGTCTCCGAGTATCTACACTCACAAAACTGGTATTCTTTATGAGTGTGGTCCTTCCCTGGTCGAGACGATCCATTCGCGCTGCAACCATAATATATTAAAATCCCTTCAAGGTGACAAACGCGTGTACAGTCCATTTGATGGAGTAAATGCTGTGGCCCATAAACACCTACACCCATTCTCGATTAAGAGTACAAAACGCAGAAGCGTTGGCTGCCTAAGTATTGCGATGGAATTACACGTAAACAGTGTATCCGGTCCCCGTCATTCGCTACACTACGCTATCATGCTGCTATATTACGCTAGTATTCTGGTAGAGCGTGGGCCTTCCTCGATCAAGCCGACACATTAATGCTGCAGCCATAATATAGCTACTCTATCACGTAATTACTCTTAATATTAGGTACGTAATCGTTATTAATTTTATAAGGAAAGAGAGTGACTTTTTTATTGAATAAGAGGACAAGCGAAGACACACCCCACATGTAATATCATCTTTAATAAGAGTGACAGTAGGCCCATTTGTATAATGTAACACAAAGCGCAAAATTAGGCATATACCTTTCAATATTATACTAATTAGATTTACACCTACATACTATCTTGTAAAAGACTAGGCTGTTAACTCAAAGGCAAGTTAAGCTAGTTGGCTGCGACATATATTATAATATAAAAGAAATGTCCACGATTCTGTTCGACATATCCAAATACGTTTTTATAATAAAAGTTTACTAAATTGGGACTTTCAATATTATTAAACAAGAACGTCACTACCGTTAGCGAACATGAATGAAAAAAGCATCGGGTAACACCTGTCAGCATTTTACGAAATAACTTAAAAAGCCGCTAATTACAACGGGCTTCTTACCATGCAATTTTTTTGTCCAAACTTCGACGACCAAATGGCAATGTATTTGGGAGGATTTCGCCCGCGCTTCCTAAGGCTTCCGTAAAACTAAACGGAGTCAGTGTGCCGCGGGGATATGGTTACGCATCCTTAAGGTGAATTTGAGGTTAACGACCGGCATCTATCTCTCCA